TGGAGAGCTGGTGTTAACTAGCACTTCCATGTCTGGTGGTATTTCTGTACGAGTTGTAGGTGGAGGTGGATTCAAGTCTTCTGAACAGATCAGCCCAGATTTTTTTGGTGATAGGATTTCGCTCTCCTTTGACTGTCAGTCTCTATACTCGTTCATTTCTGCTTACGCATCCTTGGCGCCCCTATCAATTTTCAGGTTTATTCTTCCTTCCTGAAACGGCAATATAGGTCTCCTTCCACTATGCTTTCACAGAGTTACAATGTTGTTTGCACGTCAGTTTCCTCGGTGACGCTTCATAGTGTCTCCGTCTGTTTCCTAGTGACTGCCACGTAGAAGGTCTTGTAGCTTCGTCCTTCAGGTTCTGCGTGTTGAACTTGAATCGTGGCATATCGCCAGCTTCTTTGAAGACTTTCAGCTTAACCTTAGGGGATCCTTGCACTACATAATGATCTGAACCGATAACTCTTCTCCCCGATTTTTTGTCCAGTAGGCTGCATCTCTATTTTTGATATAGAGAAGAAATCTATCCGATTTTTGGTGTGTCCATTAGGTGAAATCCATGTCTCCTTATGTACATCCTATTACTTATACAAATATCCTCCAATCTCAAAATTATCAAAGACTGAGAATTCTATGAGGAGTTCTCCGTCCAATTTATTTGTTCGAGCGTCCATAAACCTATGATAGGTCCTCTTCTTCAGTTATCTGCTCCCAGTGTTTTCATATGATCTACTAGAATTCTAATGTGACCATCTGGATGGGTTCTTGTTCACTGCCGTTTGAATTTTTCCGTTGATATCGTATTTCTTTCATTGGTCTAAATTGCTTGTAGGTTCATAACACTGTACAATTTTAACCACCCTTCTCTTTGAGATAAATCTTGTCATATTCCTATGGGAGACTGGTTGCCCTTCATGGAAGCCTTTGATGCTGCTAGTGACATCATGATAACCACATCCTCAATATGCCCGTGTTCGTCGTCTGAAAAATTACTAATTCCCTTGTTAATAGCATGCAGAGTCCACCCAACTTCGATCTGCTCTCACATATTCCAAACACTTCTATGCCATACCTACCACTTCTTTTGCAATCTCAGTAGCCTCACCAGTCAGCTTCAAACATCGTACAGATATCCTCTATTTCCATTGCTTAATTTTTATACCGAAAGAAAGCACATTGATTAACTAGCATGTCAAAGGCTTTCGCTCTTCGGCACCACCCGTCTTCGAGTTTAGCAGTCTTCCCTATTCCAGTGGTGAAAACGATTTTTCTGTTCTCTGAATGTTCTGTGGTGAAGGGGTTGTTTTTAACGGTGTGGGGTCGTTAGCCCACGCACAACCTTTCCTCTTTTTCGGACTTAATACCAGATAATAAAGCAGGTAAGTTTATCTATAACATATAGAGGGCAGTAAAATTGTTTAAGGATCCTTAAACAAAACCGTCGATGGTATTTAGACCATTCAAGATAATCTATAGTCTTACAAAACACAAAACGTCTAAGACAGTCATAGGAGACACATTGCGCGCTGGCTTACAAAATGATACTAACTCATATACTGAGGTGGCTGATTCGAATCCAAACGCCTGACAGGTCTATTTTATGCGTGAAACCTAAATGCAAACAATTTTGCTGTTGGCATGTTGGAGTGGTCATGGTTGGAACACTATACTTTAAAGTGACCGAACCTGAATTCGTAAATTTTTTGATCTATTTTAGCTCTAAAAATATTACAATGTTATATCCCTTCAATATAATGGCAGAAGTCAATCCTACGCTATGTCAGTTTATGTGACATAACTCACAGTGATATTGTATCGATAATTGGATCATGTTTTGAGTACGATTCGTATTTCTTATCATAGTGCTACGTAGTGCGGTGGTCTGAATTTGTAAGTGCTTATGTCAAGCTTTCTAATTCACCGTCTGCCTCAGTGTACCGTATTATATAAACCAAGACAAGGTTAAATGAAAACGAAAAATAAACTGACGTGGTGTTACCAATTTATGAAGTCATCAGCTGTTGGTGAGAGTTGTGTACGGAAATTCAGTTTGAATGAACGTAATTCATTCGGCCAGTAAATTCTATAATTAGACAAGGTGATACAGCTTACACCTAATCACAGCAGAACAGATTCATTCATGCTCTAAATTTAACTCAGTTATAACCCCAACTCTTATTATTTGCAAAATCTCCCCTTCTCTTGTTTCGGAACACTTCATTTCTCTGTTTTCATCTACTGATTAATTTAGTAATACTTCACGCATAAACATGAGGTGCAGTAAACACGATCTGAAATCTTTTTCTATATCCGTCTACTAACTACACCAATACAGACTATTTCATGTAAGGCAATGACCATGGATAATCTATTAGTAATGCTTATTTGTTTAGCATTTTGCCCACAGTGAATTGAAAAACCCGTTAGTATCAACATATAATGAAAGAGAGCAGCAAAGTTCATCGTACGTTCACGGATAATAATTATAATTGAGTCAAATATATATTCATATCAGCCGTTTTAAAGATTCGATTCATCTCAAGCTCAGTTTCACTATGTTTAGAATTCGATGAATTGTAAATTAGCAGAAATAGAGGAGTAAACAAACGGACCTCAACTTATTCCTTATGAGGTTACTGATGCATCAATCTAGAAAGAAAGTGCTGTCAAAAACTTTATTTCACAGTAAACAACACAGGGGATTGAGCAATTTCTCTTCCTACTAATTTTTCAGAATTTCTCAAGTACATATGATATCGTATTGCAAGGGAGGAAAATGCAATTCATTTTTCTTTAAGTACTAAGAATATCACTTTTGCTATTGGAAGGACAAGTGACAAGTCTCTATTCAGGAGGCGATTGACCAAATGCTTAGTCTCGGCATGACGACAATACTCATCCTATGGAATCTTGCCCTAGTATCTAATTCGCTCTTAAAAATGTAGTGAGTACACCGACAAACTAAAATCATAGTTTTAGAAAAACTAATGGATTGTGTTGATACTGGAAGAATGGTTTCAACTGACTTCAAATACAACAAGCAGTAACAAATATTTAAATGTGGACTAAATGAAGTCACCTCAACAGTTACTAGATGCATTAATTGATGAAGCCGAACTAGGTGGCATTAGAAAACACTGATAGAGCATCAAGGCATTTTAGTTTCAGTAGTTCTGGTGTTTACGGAATGTGACTGTTGACCTCACACCCATCCTACCCTATTTTTTCAGCTTACTGTTCGTTAGGCTGGGTTACTTTGTGCGTCAGTCGCCAATCGAACCGAGAACTCCCACATGATTGGCGAGCACTGTACAAGTGGAATTACCAGAGTAGTAAAACCAAGGAGTTCAAAGCAAATATCGCCACCTAGTTCGGGACTCTTCAATGGTGCACAACCCTAAATCCACGAGGTATCAAACCCAAGATTTTTAGATTCTGAGACGAACATGTTGTTATTCAGCTATTTGGGTAATTATATGAGCATATTAAGTACACGAATTGTAAACCAGACTTTCTTTAAGGAGGACAAATGTCTATCATTCTCGAAAAAAACAGATAAAATATTGGACAGGATGTACAGAAGACCGATTCCACTGGCCTATATTTATGTCACTACTATCCACCAAACACTACAAATCTGAAGGAGGAATAAAAATAAGCATCAATAAATTAGAATGAGCTGTAAAAAGGTTCCAAAGGTAAACACAAAGCTCATCAGAGGTACCTTAGGCTTACTTTCCAGAATTGTTTGAGAATGGTATCCGAGGCTTGTCGGTCGGATCAACTCATTAATATTTAAAAATGTTTCCTTTAGTTCCTACGGGAAAACAGGGCTTAAACCGGACAATCCCAGTGAGTTGGTTTATCCAACAATGTTTTCACCTAACTCAACGTCTGTGGACATGATTAATCTCACCTTCCCATCAACTCCTCCAAGTAACACTCGGGCGACCAATTCACGCCTTCCATTCGAGGTTGACTCCTCAACTGCTAAATAATACCAATCTAGGAGGAGTGCAATACATTCGATTTAAGATTTCGTGAGCTAATGGAAAATTGTGATGCAAGGGAGCTCAACAAAATCCGTCTTATTTAAGCCACAACGACCGGTGAATTCGATCATGAGAGAAAATACCGGAATTTCGAGAAAATAGATTTACAAACGAGTGATAATAGAGGAATTCATATCGCTTAGGACTACACATTTTGGTGGAGGTAACGACATCGAAATCAGTAGAAAACAAAGAGAAGTGACAAAAAACAGTTAGTCTGAAAGAAATAAAATCCTGGTCGGAAAAAGGGAAGACGTTAAATTTAGAGTGCCGACTGTCTTTCGGAAATCAATTTTTCCAAAGTTATCTGGCCATCGTGATTAAAGGTGACAATATTGCAGCTTGTGTTTCCTGTATGCGTCGGAAATTATACCCATGGATAAAATTATCGGTCGCTTCCTAGCACATGGTTAACATTTTTCAAACAATGAATTCCGATAGCATTTCTCGTACCTCTTAGAATAGTCAAATTTCTGATGAATAGACACAACATCACCCATAGACACCAAACAGGTGACAACATCTTTGCAGAAACTTGTCGATGAAATGTACTTCTACCATATTTTGTTTCATATGTTCACTATCATAGATGAATATATATATATGTCCTGCTCATCAGTGCCAGTAAACGTCTGCGAAACACAAATAGCCGTCCCAAACTAATACCTCAGATGCCACATCAAACACAGTACGCCCAGCTCAGACTCCACGGTGCACAACTTACGAAATCTAATTGTCATATACAACCAGATATCCTGAAGTAGATCATCATACTATAACATAACATAACAATTCATGGACTGAAAATGTATAAGCATTGCTTTCGTGAATGGTGGACACGTTTTTCCAAACTGATTATCTTTGATACAGATTCAATGCTGTTCACGAGAAACAGAAACAACACAGGTGACTAAATCAAATAACTCAGAGAGTACAAAACTACCGAAATCATGTATCCCATCCTGTAATTTATTATCATGGTAACAAAATATTAGAAATCAAATATTTATAATTTTAATCTCACAAGTTTAAGAAATAACAACTCAATACTTTTAAATTTTAATCAAAAATATAACAAAAGAAAAATATCAAGGCACAGTTCTCTACTTGATCAAATATTTGTCATTGAATAGAAACACATGAATATGTACAAAGATAGAATAATCGAGAAAAGTGCAGTCCTGTTCTGTATCCCTGAATTACAGGCATCTGTTGAACAAGTTGAAACACATGCACGATATATCCTATCGTGATCGGGAAAATCTAAATACTGACATTCATTCCCTAAATCCCATGCACTGCAGAATCGTGTTATACCCATAACAGCTAAAAATAAAGAAACAAACAGGAAAACAGATTTATTTATTTCACTAAATAATTCATACTGTGAAAAAAATTGTCAGCAGCACTAGTAGTAGTGGATATCGTGAAGTAACACTAGCCATCATATTCATGAGAACTTCGAACAGATATTTCTAGTTCATTATACTGTCTAGTATGCATATGACCGGTTAGCTGAAGAAAACGAGTTTGCTTATTAACAAATTGAGAAACAAGCTTAACACAACATGTATCAGCACATCTTTCTGGTCAGTTTTCTCCAAAAAAGGGAATTTTATTAGCATTTCTTTGTTAGTCTTGAATGAATAGTCCATTATCTATGTACTTTCCCATATCTTGTGGTTATTCGATTGAACCAAATGTTCACCGATAATAGATTAAAATAACAGTTCTTTAATTTTTCACAGAATTAGATTTCTCTTCCAAAATGGCTCTCTCATTTTACATCTTACAACCGTCCTCCTTTATGGTTGTGAGACCTGGCCACTGAGAGTGGAAGACATGAAAAGACTAGCTGCCTTTGATCATAGGTGCCTGCGTTCTATTTCCCGTGTAAAGTGGCATAATAAGGTGAGCAACATGGAGGTTAGGCGTAGAGTTCTAGGTAAACAGGGGAAATCAATCGACGAAGTCGTAAAGCTACATCGACTGAGATGGTTAGGACATGTGTTACGTATGCCAAGTCATCGCCTCCCTCGACGAGCTATGTTAGCGGATATAGGGTCAGGCTGGAAAAAAACTAGCGGCGGTCAAACAAAAACTTGGCATCAGTCAATGAAATCCACAACAGTTGGTCTAAGCCACGTAGAAAGGTGTAGACTTCCAGGCTGGGGTCCTCGGGACGGCAAAAATCTATGGTTGGAAACAATTGGTGACATGGCTCAAAATCGTTTTCAGTGGCGCAGATGCATCCACTCCCTGTGACTTATGATCTTCAATTAAATTGTTTTGTATTTCTTTATTACCCCTTTGTCTCACACCTCTGCTCACTGTTTCTATTATGCTTTTCTTGTACTTTCTTCTCTTGCTTCGCGTGCTACACGGAATGTGGCGACTTGAACTTCCGCACATTTGTGCAAAGTTCTATGTCGAAAACAGACAGACATCTTAATTTTACCTCTGAGGTTGAACAAGTGTCATTCCCTCTTTTTACGACATCGAGTGTACATTGCGTACTCATTGCTTCGCGAAAACACTATCGCTCTGTGTACTCACGGAACATTTGACGCGAATTTTTCGACTACATGGAAAGTATCATATGTCAGTTCCATTTTCGCAACTGTCTTACTTAAATTGTTTATATTGAATCAAGTAGATATCGCTTGATCGCGTGATCTCATCTTTATTTTTACATCGAATACTCGAGTACTCAAGATTTCTAAACTCGTCACTTTCAGAGTATTTATCTTGCAAATAACTACAGCTTACATAAGGCTCCTTGGTTATGACAAGTCAAATATTAGGATAAACTGAATCCATAGAAACAGCTTCGTCGTGAAGACTCGTACAAATTTGTATCTGTTACTAGAAGAGATAACAATGGACTTTTGTGATGCTTTATCGAGAAGTATCAGAATGACTTTGACTAAGAACCTTAATTCAAAATACACTATAGCTAAGGAAATCAAATGTGTGATTGAAAAATAAATAAATAATAATGATAAAAACGGCTTACCACCATAAATTCCTGTAGTCTTTATGCAAAATCGTGCTCCATATGTTGTACATGGTGTCGGCTGGAGAGAATGTTTGCCTAATTCTACTAAATGCTCCAAACAATTAGAATGATGCGATGAGTTGCATTGATAACAAGACAATGATGAAACAAAATCTACGCAAGAAGAAACACAAATAAACGAAATTAGTCTAGAGATGAAGTGTACGCAGCAATGTGGAACACCATGCATAAGTGGATTTTAGACAGCAAAGGAAGGTAGGATAAATGGAAACTAAAAATATTGAAGAGAACCAGAACGTAAACACATTCACCCCTCTTAGTGAGCTTATGACAAAGTTGCACATCAGTGTTGAACGGAGATATCTTCGTCCAATGTCAGCACTGCTTGTTGTGAAATAGACCAATAATTCTCCATAGTAAGCATGTTGAAAATATAAAAATTGGACAAAATATGCTTGTCAGTGTTGTCTGGACTCCAACTTTCTTTCGAAATTGTTCTCTTGCGATACTTCTTACAAAGTTTAAAAACAACTATACTACTTGAGGAATTCTTCATCTTATCCAAATCTTACCCTTCACAGCCATAGATTGGTCCTACTTCCAGGATACAGCTGACTATCCTCTGTAAAAGAGTTGTGTCAAGTCAATGAAATGAATATTCTATGCCTTTCCTTCAAATATGTTACCACTAGTGTATCTGTTCTTCTTACTTTTATGGAAAACATTCAAGAATCATAAAGTATTTCCATATAAGTGGTTCTAATCGTTGGTCAATTATATTACTGAGGGTGAACAGGAGCTTCTGTCTCACAGGTCTGTTGTTGCAAATGACAAACGTCTAGCCCATATATATATATATATATATATATATATATATATATATATATATATACATTAGAACTCACCTATTTTTAAACTGCTTTTCGACATGGTTATTACCAATTAAAAGACATTAGTAATAATGAAACACCGTGCTTGTCATACGTATCACCTCTTTTCAGACTAATAATTTTTTTCCAAAGTGTTCTCAGAGCCAAACTCCATGCTTTCTCTGCTAATCCAAATGACGTTAATTGGCCATAAGTTGCACCAGGAGTTATTGACATGAGGAAACATTTCAGTACACCAGTAAGTGACACTGAAGAACTATCACCACAAACAAAAATTCAGACTGCTACTTGGCTGTCTATTAGCTTTTGTATTATTCATGGTCGGCTGACTATGGTCTGTTGATTAACTTAATGTTATACACACCCCTGGTGTATTAGCGGAGGATGATTTCATCACACAGACAATTCAGTCACTGCACAGACAACCTGGTCTAAATTCCATTCAGTTGAGATTTAACGAAAATCACTATCTCAACATGAAAATGTAATCATTGTGGGTAGCGAGAAAACAACCTTTATTTGACGATATACCAATAAAACGTTTTTGTTCATTAAAAACCTGTTCACCATACTATATATATATACATATATATAGAATGTAAAAAATAAGTCCTGCTTCTTGACAATTTTATAAGCATTAGAAGTAAAGTAATGCACAACACATCGACGGTTGGTGAAAGAAATAAAAAAGACTCCTTCTGTTTATGCATTGAAAAACGAAAAATACTGCGTATATTCAATTCATAGGATGACGCTTTAAAGAGTCCGTCGGCCAGCATGACTTCGGTACTTGTAGCTGCGAAGGCGAAATACTGAGATAACTACTAGCCAAAATTCCACAAATGATTAACTCCTAGTCGTTTTTAGTCTTTAAATAGATTATATAAACTGAAAGACAAAAGTAATGAACTAGGACCGATAAACTGAAGAATAAATCCACCCAACACTGTGCTAAATCAAAAGCTTTTGAACCCTGCATTGTAGAGAATGTGAGTTCTATTGTCTCACATATTTGTTATTCGTAGGAAGAACCAATTTGCTAGAAAATATATGGTAGTAAGTCACAACGCTAAACAGATATACTCCAAAGTAAAATCATCTCATTACTATTAGGAACAGTATCTTATACTTAGTGAAAAACAATCTAGAACGAAGGCCACAAAATACCATAATCGACCAAAACTCGTCAAACTGGCGTCTAGCGATATAAGTCGGTGGTATTTTCCACTCCTTATAAAATACTACTAAATTTTTAACAACCGAAATCAACACATGAAGTAGCACGATTGATTTGGCATTTTCTCATGAGTACATGCCATCTATGGAATAAAGTTAACAATGGGATAGAAATTCCTTTATCCAGTGTTTTTCGTACGCTGGTTTTTCAAGAACAGTCATACCCCTTCCCCTGTCTATCCATTATGGGTTATTAGTAACCACAATCCCCCCTTGTTGGCTCTCCACTACCTAAGGGGATTAATCATCAGGCCAGGTTTAACCATGATTCTAGTAGCCATAGGTATAATAACTCTCTTGAGTTAAAAGAACTAATACTGGAATGGGTAATACCAAGATGCACAAGAAATGAGATATTATGGATCACAAAATTAAACAAACCCTTAGAATTATTTCAAAATGGAACGTTTGCAGACTGGCACGTTCAAAGAAGTTTAACCCCTAGTTCGAAAAATACATTCATGTGAAATTCCCTCATGCGAACATTTATTCATTTGGCACTAGCACTCTATATGACAAACGAGAATCAAGGTGTTTACGTATTTCTTATCTTTAGAACTAGTAGCCATTTAAAATTAAAGGAAGAGGAAATCAAATAAAGTATAATTATATTTCAATGGTTTAAATACAACGATAAGTTTCGTTATTGGTAATATTTCCAGCAAAATTACTGCCCGTGTTCACACCACTGTTGGAATTGTTTTATGTTATCTAGCTCTTTATCCATACCGGCCATAGTGAAGGTCTTCATCGAAATTCAAAGATTAAAAAGCCTGTTCTCAGATGACAGACCAAAGCTCAAAGTGAAGCTTGATTCCTCACAAGAGTTTTACCACATAAAACGATGGAACTAAGACCATAAACATAAACAAATTATGTATTTCACTGTGAGTGGATTGGTGTATTTCCACCAACAGTACTTTAGACACATCCATCTTCAAACTGTTGAGGCAAAATACGCCTATTAAATTGCTGGAATGCCACTTTACTTTCATCTGATGAATTTTACAGTCTTTGAGAAAGATTATCGCTATTATCATTCTACTAATATTAGTCTTAGGAGATTGTCAAAGGATGTGAGGGACTTAAATCTATCAACCCATTCGGGATTTTTCCAAGCTGGAAAACTGATTAATCTAGGTAGCAATTAATCAGAAGTAAGATTATTTCATGGTCAACTGATTCCTTTGATAAACTTTAGGAAGGCTCTTACCTTCTTATTTGGATACATCTTTGAATGTGACACATCAAGAATACTGCTTTGAACCGCTGTTTTCAGTTGACATCATTGATATAAGTTTGCTATTCACCGAGCTATGTTTGAATTACGGTAAAATACAAGATGTAATGAATGGTACTATGGCCAACATTTCTTTACATAACTGTGGGAAGTCTGATTACCACACGTTTCCTTTCTGCCTTTATTACCTGTGGCTTTATGGATTCTCAAGATTGCCTACTTCACCACATTCTTTTGTCTGCTTTTTGGCTCATTTCACCATTTATTGGCATGAGGTCTGATAACTTCTTCAAAGAGTGGAACAGGCAGTTAGTATCTAACTACCGGCCTGTAAGTCTGACCCGTATTATAGCAAAGGTGTTAGAAACACTCATAAGGGATTAGCTCTCATCTCATATGGAGGAGTATGGCTTACTGGCAGTGGAACAGCCTGGATTCCGATCAGGATGATCCTGCTTGACAAACTTACTGTTAGCTAGCGAAGATTGGGTCGAGGCCAGGGATAAGAACCATCTACTGGACGTTGTCTTTATCAATCTTAGTAAAGCATTCGATAAGGTATCCCATTTAGGTCTTCTTAGTAAACTTAAACGTTTTGGAATAGATTTGCGCTTATGTGAGTGGTTTGGCAACTACCTGATGGATAAAAGGCAGAAGGTAAGGGTTAATGATGTGCTATCAGCGTGGAAAGCAGTACTAAGTGGAGTACCTCAGGGAACTGTACCTGCCCCTTGCTATTCCTATTATACGTAAATGAACTGCCGAAAATTCTTACCTCATCTTCCTTACTATTTGCGGACGATATCAATATACGGGAAACCGTAAATAGTAACGATGATAAGTTGGTACTACAAAACGATCTAGATAAATTAGCTGAATAGGCTAACTTTTGGAGTCTGGAAATTAATTCCAAGAAAAGCGTGGTAATGCACTTAGGTCAGAAGTCTTACACGTCGAACTTCCTGAGGGACACAGAACTCCTAGATGTTAGAGGACAAAAGGACTTAGGAATTGTCTGTCTGTCTGTCTGTTTTCGACATAGAACTTTGCACAAATGTGCGGAAGTTCAAGTCGCCACATTCCGTGTAGCACGCGAAGCAAGAGAAGAAAGTACAAGAAAAGCATAATAGAAACAGTGAGCAGAGGTGTGAGACAAAGGAATAATAAAGAAATACAAAACAATTTAATTGAAGATCATAAGTCACAGGGAGTGGATGCATCTGCGCCACTGAAAACGATTTTGAGCCATGTCACCAATTGTTTCCAACCATAGATTTTTGCCGTCCCGAGGACCCCAGCCTGGAAGTCTACACCTTTCTACGTGGCTTAGACCAACTGTTGTGGATTTCATTGACTGATGCCAAGTTTTTGTTTGACCGCCGCTAGTTTTTTTCCAGCCTGACCCTATATCCGCTAACATAGCTCGTCGAGGGAGGCGATGACTTGGCATACGTAACACATGTCCTAACCATCTCAGTCTTTGTAGCTTCACGACTTCGTCGATTGATTTCCCCTGTTTACCTAGAACTCTACGCCTAACCTCATGTTGCTCACCTTATTATGCCACTTTACACGGGAAATAGAACGCAGGCACCTATGATCAAAGACAGCTAGTCTTTTCATGTCTTCCACTCTCAGTGGCCAGGTCTCACAACCATAAAGGGGACGGAGCGGACTGATGAGCAGTACACCCGCCCTTTGGTCGATAGTCGAACATCTCGTCTACGCCAGAGTCGGCGTAAACTAACAAATGCGAAACGAGCCCCCTGTATTCGTGCTGAGATTTCGTCAGAGATCAGCCCGTTGGGGCTGATGGTACTTCCCAAATAAGTGAAGCGGTCAACGTGCTCTACCACTTCACTTCCTATTTTGAAACTGGGCGTCGATGTAGTCCAGTCCTGTAACATCATCTTGCATTTGCCGGGAGCGAATCGCATGCCAAACATTCGTAGATCATCGTAAGCCATGACTTAAAAACAACGGCAAATTGTAATCGAGCCGCAGCTAAGGCTTTTCGAATGCTATGGGCACTTTGAAGGGCTTCCAAACGATTAGACGAGGGTATGTCCCAAGTACTTTATGCAACATATGTCATATCTCACCTAGAATACTGCATACAGGCGGTGAGTCCATGCGTCGTAAAGGAGGCACATATCCTGGAAGGAGTATAGAGGGTAGGAACCAAATTATTTAGTGATATCTCACACCTTCATTATGATAAGATGATGGAGCATCTAAATCTATTCTCATTATCATTTGCACAGCGAAGGAGGAGAGGCGACTTAATTTCAGCTTACCGTATATTCAAGGGTGACTTAGGGATTGACTTTTCAAACCTTTCTCCTCCCTCTAGGATGTATTTACGAGGTCACCACAAGAAAGTGCCAAACCGAGGTTGAATAAAATACGCGTGAAATTCAGATTCTCTCACAGAGTGCCGACGACTCGAACTCCTTGCCTGATTCAGTAGTAACATCTCCATCGGTGAACGCTTTCAAAGAGAAGCTGGATCTTTGCAGAGATATATGTCGCAAGGATTAACATAGGCAACAAGAGCCTTCTATCCCAATAATCTGAACACAAAGAATATATATATTAAAAATAAAATATTGTATTTTGAATATCCTTCACAAAACTATAAGTATGGTGTGATGATAATTCTGAATATTCACAACAGAATATTCTATTTTGAATATATATATACATACTTTCATGTGCCTTACACGAACGTTACAAGCATAAGACAAAGGTGTAAAGGATGGGGAGAGTTGCGTTAATTTGGAAGGAAAAGACTGGGTACTATGAAGAGGACAAATAAGTAGTCAATATATTGGCTACTATTGTAAATCATCTCTTGAACCATACCAATGAAAATTATCTCAAATTCGAAAGCTCTGATAAACGCACCATAAAAATTTTAGATGGTCACATACACAAAATCCCTTACTTATTTTGATGACCCACACCAGTATGCTACCTATTAGCATTTCCGCATTTCATTCAAATTGCGCAAAGTTACTGTACGAGTGAAATAACCAACATCGATGGATTATAACACGAGTTAAGTTCTTAAGTTCAGCTTTGCAGCTTTCCTTTCATTCAGAAAAAGGGTTTTTAGCCTGCATCTGTATGGTTAAGTCAATAATACCAGTGCTATCTTTCTGGATTACGAATAACATTGTAATGATCATGTAAATGCCTACATGGTCTAGAGTGCTCAGATGATCTAATTTTTGTAGTGAATGTGTTTAAACTGCCAAATGAGCAGGACGGAGTGCATACGCCTAAAATAGAGGTTACGTAATGGGGTGAAGAATACAGTTCTTTACCTTTACTTCGAGTAGTTCGGGGTTCGAGCCCACGCCGACGCACACCTGATATCTATGGTCGGCCTGCGAATTTTGGGCTACCGATATCCACGCTGAAAATTCCACATTTGTACCAAAATACGGTGTGGAATCAAGCTGTAATCACAAATAAAAAAATAATTAAATAAGCAGTCATAGAACGTAGTATAGAAGGAAATTCAGTTATTCACTTGAAATGGCCATACTTTCTTCTAAAGTCAGCACTGATTATATATAAAATCAGATGAAATACTTTATTAGGTAACGCTTTTGGTTTAGGACCCTTATTTTTAATTATGTTGAAACTCTTTACGTCTGGAGTGATCGCCAGTGGCTGAAGCCTTTGCTTGTCAATGAATCAGGAGCCATGAACATGTCTGACGATCATATCTTGTGCTTTGAATAGCCCGTGACTGGTGTATTGTATCTGCCCTAATAGACCTTAGCCATGTCCACACTACGTGTTTACTTTCAAATTGTTGTTAAGTCACTCCCAACATCGCCCCAGCTTGTGGGGGCAGAATAGAACACATATATCTATTCAAGCATGTGTTTGTTAACCATGGTATGGGGAAAAAGTTTGGAGGTAATGGATCACACCACTGTGTAGCAGACACACTCTTGTTGCTTGAAAACCCAACTGTACGTAGCGTGTTTCAATCCACGCAGGTAATCAAATTGATTGTTGGAGCCGAAACGGCTGAGGTGAAGTTGATTCTTTGAATTCTTTGACCCCTTGCACATACAATGATTTTACTTAGCCATTACTAGTTGACAGAGTTCCTAATTTAGTGCCATCACTAAGTCGAAGGCGATACTGATATCGGGCAAATTTTAGATATTATACGTAGGAACAAATAAACAGTTAAATGTGCCAGTATGGCTAGACGAGTCGTAGGCATATGCATAATGTGCAGACACATCAAGTTCGAGTGAATCCCATTCACTAACCACATGCGACCGGGCTGGTCCTCACAAAGTGGAAGGAGCGAAATCGAACGTTAGGGCATGCACACTTGACTGGCGGGGCTATAAAACCCTCACTACAAATTTCTGGTGTACATAAGCTCAAGAATTCTAAAGGATCGAATAGTATCTGACCTCAAGTCAGTGTCTCCTCTTAGTCTCTCAATACATAAACCTGCTTCGGCGTATGACTACGAGCAGTACTTCAGCCTTATCACAAACTACAAGACTTTTGTGTGGTGCATCTCTCGACTCCCATGACGCACCGAATTTTGTTTTTGATATTAATAATAATGTCCAGTTGAGACCTGAATCATGGTAATAACATCCTGTAACCTAGCCTGGTATACTAGCTAGAAGTTTTTCTAAGCGATCCCATACCAAAGGAAACATTGACGGCTAGGCATAAGGCGAACGATCCCACCCTGAAATATGAATCCATCCCACACCTGATCTTCAAACCACAATTAATCATGGAACATATGGTAGTTTCCTAATGCGTCGGGGAGACAATGTGATGTGGGACGGTGAAATAATGTGAGATTGCATTCAGCCGGTGTGTTCGATTTTGGTGGAATTAAAATGAATGAAGATGTATGGAATCATTTTATAATTTACGTGAGTGATTAAACCGTGCAGATTGCCAAATATTTGATACCGCATTGAAGTACTACTTATCTGTTAGAGATGGTGAAATATATATGTACTATCCAAATGGGCCACAAAGAGATGGCACCCATCTGACTAGGTTGAGTATGAAGAGGCTGGTTCTGTTCCATGTTCGTACACATTAATAATTCTGGATCGTTAACTTTTGGATGAAATAAGGCGAAAAATACATGTGGGTGTATACTCGCATGCAATAGAGAAGATTTGTAACTCAGATGGATGATTGGAAATTACTAGCAACCAGCTCAGAGAACACATAACTGACGAGGATATCAAAGCAAGAATCGGAAAAGCAAAACAGACTTTCATTACTCTTAAGCCTGTGTGGAGGTCAACAGCACTCACCATCAAAAATAAGATCCGGATTTTCAATTCCAATGTGAATTCAGACAATGCTACTATACGGATCAGAGACTTGGCCGGCGCATATTAAAGAGCATCTCAAACAAACTACAGACCTTCATTAACAGTTGTCTTCGCTCAATACTACTCAAGATCAGATGGCTGGCCAGAAAAGATCAGCAAGAGGGTGGGATCTCTGGGAGGAACCAACCAGGAACCGATTGTGAAACAAATAGTCAGGAAGAAATGGAGATGGATTGGCTGGTCATACTCTGAGGAAACATCATGTGACATCACTAGACAAGACATTGCTCGACTGGAACCCGAAAGGGAAGCGGTGAGTTGGTCGTCAGCGCGAGAGTGGGATGGCTTGGAGGAGGTCATGTGAAGAGGAGATGAAGGCATGTGGGCAGACTTGGAGCGGGTGAAAAAGTTGGCAAAAAAAGAAGGCAGTGGAGATGCGTAGCTGAAGCCCTATGTTCCTCTAGGAATTAAAGGATACAATAATATAATAATAATACATATCCAATAATTCAGTGTTATATGTGACGTGTAAGTACTGATGACAAAGCGCGAATTAAAAAGACCTGGTCACTAAGGGAGTGATCTCTGATGCACCTTTTATTTCTAGTAAAACGAACTGTAATTATTATCCAAGGAAAATGGTCTAGAACATACTTATTAAATACGGATGTATTACAAACCCTTTATATCAATTTTAGGAAAATATCACGCATACCCTACTGTAACACAGTAAGGCCCACATTGTATGGCTACTCCTCTTGCTTCCGTCATATCATGAATATGCAAGGAAATATGCTCAATTTGACATGTTCGACTATAGAAAGTATTAAATGTCGTCACTCAGCGTCCTAAAGACACTTATTTCCTGGAAGAACAAGTGATAAAAAGATTTCAACGCTTCAAGCATAGTCCTGAAATACAATTCCACATGATATTGGTTATGCGCAGACCTTTGTAGGGTATTCGTGGCATTCTGTTTCGGAAATGATTCTCCTGGAAAACATGATATATCGAGATTTCAGGGAGACTGAGAAATAAGCGTTGAAAACACGAAAAATCTCGCCGTTCCTATATAAATATCGGCACAAAAACAACCAACTTTTCCTATTTTAGCTGCGTTGCATATTTCAAGCTCAAGCAAAACTTTCACTAAAAACTACGTAGTATTCAAATGACACCACTGAATTTAATTCACATGTAGACCAACAAAACTTTGAAAGCAGTAACACTTGCCAAAGGTTATATGCACATACCACAGATTTGGAATAAAATTCCGAGACAATCTGTGCAAATTTAGAGCAGTTGAAATCAGCGTATGTGATTTGAGGCTTGAAGATTTGGTGTGGGATGGATTCATATTTCAGGATGGGATCGTTCGCCTTATGCCTAGCCGTCAATGTTTCCTTTGGTATGGGATCGCTTAGAAAAACTTCTAGCTAGTATACCAGGCTAGGTTACAGGATGTTATTACCATGATTCAGGTCTCAACTGGACATTATTATTAATATCAAAAAACAAAATTCGGTGCGTCATGGGAGTCGAGAGATGCACCACACAAAAGTCTTGTAGTTTGTGATAAGGCTGAAGTACTGCTCGTAGTCATACGCCGAAGCAGGTTTATGTATTGAGAGACTAAGAGGAGACACTGACTTGAGGTCAGATACTATTCGATCCTTTAGAATTCTTGAGCTTATGTACACCAGAAATTTGTAGTGAGGGTTTTATAGCCCCGCCAGTCAAGTGTGCATGCCCTAACGTTCGATTTCGCTCCTTCCACTTTGTGAGGACCAGCCCGGTCGCATGTGGTTAGTGAATGGGATTCACTCGAACTTGATGTGTCTGCACATTATGCATATGCCTACGACTCGTCTAGCCATACTGGCACATTTAACTGTTTATTTGTTCCTACGTATAATATCTAAAATTTGCCCGATATCAGTATCGCCTTCGACTTAGTGATGGCACTAAATTAGGAACTCTGTCAACTAGTAATGGCTAAGTAAAATCATTGTATGTGCAAGGGGTCAAAGAATTCAAAGAATCAACTTCACCTCAGCCGTTTCGGCTCCAACAATCAATTTGATTACCTGCGTGGATTGAAACACGCTACGTACAGTTGGGTTTTCAAGCAACAAGAGTGTGTCTGCTACACAGTGGTGTGATCCATTACCTCCAAACTTTTTCCCCATACCATGGTTAACAAACACATGCTTGAATAGATATATGTGTTCTATTCTGCCCCCACAAGCTGGGGCGATGTTGGGAGTGACTTAACAACAATTTGAAAGTAAACACGTAGTGTGGACATGGCTAAGGTCTATTAGGGCAGATACAATACACCAGTCACGGGCTATTCAAAGCACAAGATATGATCGTCAGACATGTTCATGGCTCCTGATTCATTGACAAGCAAAGGCTTCAGCCACTGGCGATCACTCCAGACGTAAAGAGTTTCAACATAATTAAAAATAAGGGTCCTAAACCAAAAGCGTTACCTAATAAAGTATTTCATCTGATTTTATATATAATCAGTGCTGACTTTAGAAGAAAGTATGGCCATTTCAAGTGAATAACTGAATTTCCTTCTATACTACGTTCTATGACTGCTTATTTAATTATTTTTTTATTTTTGATTACAGCTTGATTCCACACCGTATTTTTGGTACAAATGTGGAATTTTCAGCGTGGATATCGGTAGCCCAAAATTCGCAGGCCGACCATAGATATCAGGTGTGCGTCGGCGTGGGCTCGAACCCCGAACTACTCGAAGTAAAGGTAAAGAACTGTATTCTTCACCCCATTACGTAACCTCTATTTTAGGCGTATGCACTCCGTCCTGCTCATTTGGCAGTTTAAACACATTCACTACAAAAATTAGATCATCTGAGCACTCTAGACCATGTAGGCATTTACATGATCATTACAATGTTATTCGTAATCCAGAAAGATAGCACTGGTATTATTGACTTAACCATACAGATGCAGGCTAAAAACCCTTTTTCTGAATGAAAGGAAAGCTGCAAAGCTGAACTTAAGAACTTAACTCGTGTTATAATCCATCGATGTTGGTTATTTCACTCGTACAGTAACTTTGCGCAATTTGAATGAAATGCGGAAATGCTAATAGGTAGCATACTGGTGTGGGTCATCAAAATAAGTAAGGGATTTTGTGTACGTGACCATCTAAAATTTTTATGGTGCGTTTATCAGAGCTTTCGAATTTGAGATAATTTTCATTGGTATGGTTCAAGAGATGATTTACAATAGTAGCCAATATATTGACTACTTATTTGTCCTCTTCATAGTACCCAGTCTTTTCCTTCCAAATTAACGCAACTCTCCCCATCCTTTACACCTTTGTCTTATGCTTGTAACGTTCGTGTAAGGCACATGAAAGTATGTATATATATATTCAAAATAGAATATTCTGTTGTGAATATTCAGAATTATCATCACACCATACTTATAGTTTTGTGAAGGATATTCAAAATACAATATTTTATTTTTAATATATATATTCTTTGTGTTCAGATTATTGGGATAGAAGGCTCTTGTTGCCTATGTTAATCCTTGCGACATATATCTCTGCAAAGATCCAGCTTCTCTTTGAAAGCGTTCACCGATGGAGATGTTACTACTGAATCAGGCAAGGAGTTCGAGTCGTCGGCACTCTGTAACAGAATCTGAATTTCACGCGTATTTTATTCAACCTCGGTTTGGCACTTTCTTGTGGTGACCTCGTAAATACATCCTAGAGGGAGGAGAAAGGTTTGAAAAGTCAATCCCTAAGTCACCCTTGAATATACGGTAAGCTGAAATTAAGTCGCCTCTCCTCCTTCGCTGTGCAAATGATAATGAGAATAGATTTAAATACTCCATCATCTTATCATAATGAAGGTGTGAGATATCACTAAATAATTTGGTTCCTACCCTCTATACTCCTTCCAGGATATGTGCCTCCTTTACGACGCATGGACTCACCGCCTGTATGCAGTATTCTAGGTGAGATATGACATATGTTGCATAAAGTACTTGGGACATACCCTCGTCTAATCGTTTGGAAGCCCTTCAAAGTGCCCATAGCATTCGAAAAGCCTTAGCTGCGGCTCGATTACAATTTGCCGTTGTTTTTAAGTCATGGCTTACGATGATCTACGAATGTTTGGCATGCGATTCGCTCCCGGCAAATGCAAGATGATGTTACAGGACTGGACTACATCGACGCCCAGTTTCAAAATAGGAAGTGAAGTGGTAGAGCACGTTGACCGCTTCACTTATTTGGGAAGTACCATCAGCCCCAACGGGCTGATCTCTGACGAAATCTCAGCACGAATACAGGGGGCTCGTTTCGCATTTGTTAGTTTACGCCGACTCTGGCGTAGACGAGATGTTCGACTATCGACCAAAGGGCGGGTGTACTGCTCATCAGTCCGCTCCGTCCCCTTTATGGTTGTGAGACCTGGCCACTGAGAGTGGAAGACATGAAAAGACTAGCTGTCTTTGATCATAGGTGCCTGCGTTCTATTTCCCGTGTAAAGTGGCATAATAAGGTGAGCAACATGGAGGTTAGGCGTAGAGTTCTAGGTAAACAGGGGAAATCAATCGACGAAGTCGTGAAGCTACAAAGACTGAGATGGTTAGGACATGTGTTACGTATGCCAAGCCATCGCCTCCCTCGACGAGCTATGTTAGCGGATATAGGGTCAGGCTGGAAAAAAGCTAGCGGCGGTCAAACAAAAACTTGGCATCAGTCAATAAAATCCACAACAGTTGGTCTAAGCCACGTATAAAGGTGTAGACTTCCAGGCTGGGGTCCTCGGGACGGTAAAAATCTATGGTTGGAAACAATTGGTGACATGGCTCAAAACCATTCTCAGTGGCGCAGATGCATCCACTTCCTGTGACTTATGATCTTCAATGAAACTGTTTTGTATTTCTTTATTATTCCTTTGTCTCACACCTCTGCTCACTGTTTCTATTATGCTTTTCTTGTACTTTCTTCTCTTGCTTCGCGTGCTACACGGAATGTGGCGACTTGAACTTCCGCACATTTGTGCAAAGTTCTATGTCGAAAACAGACAGACAGACAGACAATTCCTAAGTCCTTTTGTCCTCTAACATCTAGGAGTTCTGTGTCCCTCAGGAAGTTCGACGTGTAAGACTTCTGACCTAAGTGCATTACCACGCTTTTCTTGGAATTAATTTCCAGACTCCAAAAGTTAGCCTATTCAGCTAATTTATCTAGATCGTTTTGTAGTACCAACTTATCATCGTTACTATTTACGGTTTCCCGTATATTGATATCGTCCGCAAATAGTAAGGAAGATGAGGTAAGAATTTTCGGCAGTTCATTTACGTATAATAGGAATAGCAAGGGGCAGGTACAGTTCCCTGAGGTACTCCACTTAGTACTGCTTTCCACGCTGATAGCACATCATTAACCCTTACCTTCTGCCTTTTATCCATCAGGTAGTTGCCAAACCACTCACATAAGCGCAAATCTATTCCAAAACGTTTAAGTTTACTAAGAAGACCTAAATGGGATACCTTATCGAATGCTTTACTAAGATTGATAAAGACAACGTCCAGTAGATGGTTCTTATCCCTGGCCTCGACCCAATCTTCGCTAGCTAACAGTAAGTTTGTCAAGCAGGATCATCCTGATCGGAATCCAGGCTGTTCCACTGCCAGTAAGCCATACTCCTCCATATGAGCTGAGAGCTAATCCCTTATGAGTGTTTCTAACACCTTTGCTATAATACGGGTCAGACTTACAGGCCGGTAGTTAGATACTAACTGCCTGTTCCACTCTTTGAAGAAGTTATCAGACCTCATGCCAATAAATGGTGAAATGAGCCAAAAAGCAGACAAAAGAATGTGGTGAAGTAGGCAATCTTGAGAATCCATAAAGCCACAGGTAATAAAGGCAGAAAGGAAACGTGTGGTAATCAGACTTCCCACAGTTATGTAAAGAAATGTTGGCCATAGTACCATTCATTACATCTTGTATTTTACCGTAATTCAAACATAGCTCGGTGAATAGCAAACTTATATCAATGATGTCAACTGAAAACAGCGGTTCAAAGCAGTATTCTTGATGTGTCACATTCAAAGATGTATCCAAATAAGAAGGTAAGAGCCTTCCTAAAGTTTATCAAAGGAATCAGTTGACCATGAAATAATCTTACTTCTGATTAATTGCTACCTAGATTAATCAGTTTTCCAGCTTGGAAAAATCCCGAATGGGTTGATAGATTTAAGTCCCTCACATCCTTTGACAATCTCCTAAGACTAATATTAGTAGAATGATAATAGCGATAATCTTTCTCAAAGACTGTAAAATTCATCAGATGAAAGTAAAGTGGCATTCCAGCAATTTAATAGGCGTATTTTGCCTCAACAGTTTGAAGATGGATGTGTCTAAAGTACTGTTGGTGGAAATACACCAATCCACTCACAGTGAAATACATAATTTGTTTATGTTTATGGTCTTAGTTCCATCGTTTTATGTGGTAAAACTCTTGTGAGGAATCAAGCTTCACTTTGAGCTTTGGTCTGTCATCTGAGAACAGGCTTTTTAATCTTTGAATTTCGATGAAGACCTTCACTATGGCCGGTATGGATAAAGAGCTAGATAACATAAAACAATTCCAACAGTGGTGTGAACACGGGCAGTAATTTTGCTGGAAATATTACCAATAACGAAACTTATCGTTGTATTTAAACCATTGAAATATAATTATACTTTATTTGATTTCCTCTTCCTTTAATTTTAAATGGCTACTAGTTCTAAAGATAAGAAATACGTAAACACCTTGATTCTCGTTTGTCATATAGAGTGCTAGTGCCAAATGAATAAATGTTCGCATGAGGGAATTTCACATGAATGTATTTTTCGAACTAGGGGTTAAACTTCTTTGAACGTGCCAGTCTGCAAACGTTCCATTTTGAAATAATTCTAAGGGTTTGTTTAATTTTGTGATCCATAATATCTCATTTCTTGTGCATCTTGGTATTACCCATTCCAGTATTAGTTCTTTTAACTCAAGAGAGTTATTATACCTATGGCTACTAGAATCATGGTTAAACCTGGCCTGATGATTAATCCCCTTAGGTAGTGGAGAGCCAACAAGGGGGGATTGTGGTTACTAATAACCCATAATGGATAGACAGGGGAAGGGGTATGACTGTTCTTGAAAAACCAGCGTACGAAAAACACTGGATAAAGGAATTTCTATCCCATTGTTAACTTTATTCCATAGATGGCATGTACTCATGAGAAAATGCCAAATCAATCGTGCTACTTCATGTGTTGATTTCGGTTGTTAAAAATTTAGTAGTATTTTATAAGGAGTGGAAAATACCACCGACTTATATCGCTAGACGCCAGTTTGACGAGTTTTGGTCGATTATGGTATTTTGTGGCCTTCGTTCTAGATTGTTTTTCACTAAGTATAAGATACTGTTCCTAATAGTAATGAGATGATTTTACTTTGGAGTATATCTGTTTAGCGTTGTGACTTACTACCATATATTTTCTAGCAAATTGGTTCTTCCTACGAATAACAAATATGTGAGACAATAGAACTCACATTCTCTACAATGCAGGGTTCAAAAGCTTTTGATTTAGCACAGTGTTGGGTGGATTTATTCTTCAGTTTATCGGTCCTAGTTCATTACTTTTGTCTTTCAGTTTATATAATCTATTTAAAGACTAAAAACGACTAGGAGTTAATCATTTGTGGAATTTTGGCTAGTAGTTATCTCAGTATTTCGCCTTCGCAGCTACAAGTACCGAAGTCATGCTGGCCGACGGACTCTTTAAAGCGTCATCCTATGAATTGAATATACGCAGTATTTTTCGTTTTTCAATGCATAAACAGAAGGAGTCTTTTTTATTTCTTTCACCAACCGTCGATGTGTTGTGCATTACTTTACTTCTAATGCTTATAAAATTGTCAAGAAGCAGGACTTATTTTTTACATTCTATATATATGTTATATATATATGTATGGTGAACAGGTTTTTAATGAACAAAAACGTTTTATTGGTATATCGTCAAATAAAGGTTGTTTTCTCGCTACCCACAATGATTACATTTTCATGTTGAGATAGTGATTTTCGTTAAATCTCAACTGAATGGAATTTAGACCAGGTTGTCTGTGCAGTGACTGAATTGTCTGTGTGATGAAATCATCCTCCGCTAATACACCAGGGGTGTGTATAACATTAAGTTAATCAACAGACCATAGTCAGCCGACCATGAATAATACAAAAGCTAATAGACAGCCAAGTAGCAGTCTGAATTTTTGTTTGTGGTGATAGTTCTTCAGTGTCACTTACTGGTGTACTGAAATGTTTCCTCATGTCAATAACTCCTGGTGCAACTTATGGCCAATTAACGTCATTTGGATTAGCAGAGAAAGCATGGAGTTTGGCTCTGAGAACACTTTGGAAAAAAATTATTAGTCTGAAAAGAGGTGATACGTATGACAAGCACGGTGTTTCATTATTACTAATGTCTTTTAATTGGTAATAACCATGTCGAAAAGCAGTTTAAAAATAGGTGAGTTCTAATGTATATATAATATATATATATATATATGGGCTAGACGTTTGTCATTTGCAACAACAGACCTGTGAGACAGAAGCTCCTGTTCACCCTCAGTAATATAATTGACCAACGATTAGAACCACTTATATGGAAATACTTTATGATTCTTGAATGTTTTCCATAAAAGTAAGAAGAACAGATACACTAGTGGTAACATATTTGAAGGAAAGGCATAGAATATTCATTTCATTGACTTGACACAACTCTTTTACAGAGGATAGTCAGCTGTATCCTGGAAGTAGGACCAATCTATGGCTGTGAAGGGTAAGATTTGGATAAGATGAAGAATTCCTCAAGTAGTATAGTTGTTTTTAAACTTTGTAAGAAGTATCGCAAGAGAACAATTTCGAAAGAAAGTTGGAGTCCAGACAACACTGACAAGCATATTTTGTCCAATTTTTATATTTTCAACATGCTTACTATGGAGAATTATTGGTCTATTTCACAACAAGCAGTGCTGACATTGGACGAAGATATCTCCGTTCAACACTGATGTGCAACTTTGTTATAAGCTCACTAAGAGGGGTGAATGTGTTTACGTTCTGGTTCTCTTCAATATTTTTAGTTTCCATTTATCCTACCTTCCTTTGCTGTCTAAAATCCACTTATGCATGGTGTTCCACATTGCTGCGTACACTTCATCTCTAGACTAATTTCGTTTATTTGTGTTTCTTCTTGCGTAGATTTTGTTTCATCATTGTCATGTTATCAATGCAACTCATCGCATCATTCTAATTGTTTGGAGCATTTAGTAGAATTAGGCAAACATTCTCTCCAGCCGACACCATGTACAACATATGGAGCACGATTTTGCATAAAGACTACAGGAATTTATGGTGGTAAGCCGTTTTTATCATTATTATTTATTTATTTTTCAATCACACATTTGATTTCCTTAGCTATAGTGTATTTTGAATTAAGGTTCTTAGTCAAAGTCATTCTGATACTTCTCGATAAAGCATCACAAAAGTCCATTGTTATCTCTTCTAGTAACAGATACAAATTTGTACGAGTCTTCACGACGAAGCTGTTTCTATGGATTCAGTTTATCCTAATATTTGACTTGTCATAACCAAGGAGCCTTATGTAAGCTGTAGTTATTTGCAAGATAAATACTCTGAAAGTGACGAGTTTAGAAATCTTGAGTACTCGAGTATTCGATGTAAAAATAAAGATGAGATCACGCGATCAAGCGATATCTACTTGATTCAATATAAACAATTTAAGTAAGACAGTTGCGAAAATGGAACTGACATATGATACTTTCCATGTAGTCGAAAAATTCGCGTCAAATGTTCCGTGAGTACACAGAGCGATAGTGTTTTCGCGAAGCAATGAGTACGCAATGTACACTCGATGTCGTAAAAAGAGGGAATGACACTTGTTCAACCTCAGAGGTAAAATTAAGATGTAAAATGAGAGAGCCATTTTGGAAGAGAAATCTAATTCTGTGAAAAATTAAAGAACTGTTATTTTAATCTATTATCGGTGAACATTTGGTTCAATCGAATAACCACAAGATATGGGAAAGTACATAGATAATGGACTATTCATTCAAGACTAACAAAGAAATGCTAATAAAATTCCCTTTTTTGGAGAAAACTGACCAGAAAGATGTGCTGATACATGTTGTGTTAAGCTTGTTTCTCAATTTGTTAATAAGCAAACTCGTTTTCTTCAGCTAACCGGTCATATGCATACTAGACAGTATAATGAACTAGAAATATCTGTTCGAAGTTCTCATGAATGTGATGGCTAGTGTTACTTCACGATATCCACTACTACTAGTGCTGCTGACAATTTTTTTCACAGTATGAATTATTTAGTGAAATAAATAAATCTGTTTTCCTGTTTGTTTCTTTATTTTTAGCTGTTATGGGTATAACACGATTCTGCAGTGCATGGGATTTAGGGAATGAATGTCAGTATTTAGATTTTCCCGATCACGATAGGATATATCGTGCATGTGTTTCAACTTGTTCAACAGATGCCTGTAATTCAGGGATACAGAACAGGACTGCACTTTTCTCGATTATTCTATCTTTGTACATATTCATGTGTTTCTATTCAATGACAAATATTTGATCAAGTAGAGAACTGTGCCTTGATATTTTTCTTTTGTTATATTTTTGATTAAAATTTAAAAGTATTGAGTTGTTATTTCTTAAACTTGTGAGATTAAAATTATAAATATTTGATTTCTAATATTTTGTTACCATGATAATAAATTACAGGATGGGATACATGATTTCGGTAGTTTTGTACTCTCTGAGTTATTTGATTTAGTCACCTGTGTTGTTTCTGTTTCTCGTGAACAGCATTGAATCTGTATCAAAGATAATCAGTTTGGAAAAACGTGTCCACCATTCACGAAAGCAATGCTTATACATTTTCAGTCCATGAATTGTTATGTTATGTTATAGTATGATGATCTACTTCAGGATATCTGGTTGTATATGACAATTAGATTTCGTAAGTTGTGCACCGTGGAGTCTGAGCTGGGCGTACTGTGTTTGATGTGGCATCTGAGGTATTAGTTTGGGACGGCTATTTGTGTTTCGCAGACGTTTACTGGCACTGATGAGCAGGACATATATATATATTCATCTATGATAGTGAACATATGAAACAAAATATGGTAGAAGTACATTTCATCGACAAGTTTCTGCAAAGATGTTGTCACCTGTTTGGTGTCTATGGGTGATGTTGTGTCTATTCATCAGAAATTTGACTATTCTAAGAGGTACGAGAAATGCTATCGGAATTCATTGTTTGAAAAATGTTAACCATGTGCTAGGAAGCGACCGATAATTTTATCCATGGGTATAATTTCCGACGCATACAGGAAACACAAGCTGCAATATTGTCACCTTTAATCACGATGGCCAGATAACTTTGGAAAAATTGATTTCCGAAAGACAGTCGGCACTCTAAATTTAACGTCTTCCCTTTTTCCGACCAGGATTTTATTTCTTTCAGACTAACTGTTTTTTGTCACTTCTCTTTGTTTTCTACTGATTTCGATGTCGTTACCTCCACCAAAATGTGTAGTCCTAAGCGATATGAATTCCTCTATTATCACTCGTTTGTAAATCTATTTTCTCGAAATTCCGGTATTTTCTCTCATGATCGAATTCACCGGTCGTTGTGGCTTAAATAAGACGGATTTTGTTGAGCTCCCTTGCATCACAATTTTCCATTAGCTCACGAAATCTTAAATCGAATGTATTGCACTCCTCCTAGATTGGTATTATTTAGCAGTTGAGGAGTCAACCTCGAATGGAAGGCGTGAATTGGTCGCCCGAGTGTTACTTGGAGGAGTTGATGGGAAGGTGAGATTAATCATGTCCACAGACGTTGAGTTAGGTGAAAACATTGTTGGATAAACCAACTCACTGGGATTGTCCGGTTTAAGCCCTGTTTTCCCGTAGGAACTAAAGGAAACATTTTTAAATATTAATGAGTTGATCCGACCGACAAGCCTCGGATACCATTCTCAAACAATTCTGGAAAGTAAGCCTAAGGTACCTCTGATGAGCTTTGTGTTTACCTTTGGAACCTTTTTACAGCTCATTCTAATTTATTGATGCTTATTTTTATTCCTCCTTCAGATTTGTAGTGTTTGGTGGATAGTAGTGACATAAATATAGGCCAGTGGAATCGGTCTTCTGTACATCCTGTCCAATATTTTATCTGTTTTTTTCGAGAATGATAGACATTTGTCCTCCTTAAAGAAAGTCTGGTTTACAATTCGTGTACTTAATATGCTCATATAATTACCCAAATAGCTGAATAACAACATGTTCGTCTCAGAATCTAAAAATCTTGGGTTTGATACCTCGTGGATTTAGGGTTGTGCACCATTGAAGAGTCCCGAACTAGGTGGCGATATTTGCTTTGAACTCCTTGGTTTTACTACTCTGGTAATTCCACTTGTACAGTGCTCGCCAATCATGTGGGAGTTCTCGGTTCGATTGGCGACTGACGCACAAAGTAACCCAGCCTAACGAACAGTAAGCTGAAAAAATAGGGTAGGATGGGTGTGAGGTCAACAGTCACATTCCGTAAACACCAGAACTACTGAAACTAAAATGCCTTGATGCTCTATCAGTGTTTTCTAATGCCACCTAGTTCGGCTTCATCAATTAATGCATCTAGTAACTGTTGAGGTGACTTCATTTAGTCCACATTTAAATATTTGTTACTGCTTGTTGTATTTGAAGTCAGTTGAAACCATTCTTCCAGTATCAACACAATCCATTAGTTTTTCTAAAACTATGATTTTAGTTTGTCGGTGTACTCACTACATTTTTAAGAGCGAATTAGATACTAGGGCAAGATTCCATAGGATGAGTATTGTCGTCATGCCGAGACTAAGCATTTGGTCAATCGCCTCCTGAATAGAGACTTGTCACTTGTCCTTCCAATAGCAAAAGTGATATTCTTAGTACTTAAAGAAAAATGAATTGCATTTTCCTCCCTTGCAATACGATATCATATGTACTTGAGAAATTCTGAAAAATTAGTAGGAAGAGAAATTGCTCAATCCCCTGTGTTGTTTACTGTGAAATAAAGTTTTTGACAGCACTTTCTTTCTAGATTGATGCATCAGTAACCTCATAAGGAATAAGTTGAGGTCCGTTTGTTTACTCCTCTATTTCTGCTAATTTACAATTCATCGAATTCTAAACATAGTGAAACTGAGCTTGAGATGAATCGAATCTTTAAAACGGCTGATATGAATATATATTTGACTCAATTATAATTATTATCCGTGAACGTACGATGAACTTTGCTGCTCTCTTTCATTATATGTTGATACTAACGGGTTTTTCAATTCACTGTGGGCAAAATGCTAAACAAATAAGCATTACTAATAGATTATCCATGGTCATTGCCTTACATGAAATAGTCTGTATTGGTGTAGTTAGTAGACGGATATAGAAAAAGATTTCAGATCGTGTTTACTGCACCTCATGTTTATGCGTGAAGTATTACTAAATTAATCAGTAGATGAAAACAGAGAAATGAAGTGTTCCGAAACAAGAGAAGGGGAGATTTTGCAAATAATAAGAGTTGGGGTTATAACTGAGTTAAATTTAGGTGTTCTGTGTCCCTCAGGAAGTTCGACGTGTAAGACTTCTGACCTAAGTGCATTACCACGCTTTTCTTGGAATTAATTTCCAGACTCCAAAAGTTAGCCTATTCAGCTAATTTATCTAGATCGTTTTGTAGTACCAACTTATCATCGTTACTATTTACGGTTTCCCGTATATTGATATCGTCCGCAAATAGTAAGGAAGATGAGGTAAGAATTTTCGGCAGTTCATTTACGTATAATAGGAATAGCAAGGGGCAGGTACAGTTCCCTGAGGTACTCCACTTAGTACTGCTTTCCACGCTGATAGCACATCATTAACCCTTACCTTCTGCCTTTTATCCATCAGGTAGTTGCCAAACCACTCACATAAGCGCAAATCTATTCCAAAACGTTTAAGTTTACTAAGAAGACCTAAATGGGATACCTTATCGAATGCTTTACTAAGATTGATAAAGACAACGTCCAGTAGATGGTTCTTATCCCTGGCCTCGACCCAATCTTCGCTAGCTAACAGTAAGTTTGTCAAGCAGGATCATCCTGATCGGAATCCAGGCTGTTCCACTGCCAGTAAGCCATACTCCTCCATATGAGCTGAGAGCTAATCCCTTATGAGTGTTTCTAACACCTTTGCTATAATACGGGTCAGACTTACAGGCCGGTAGTTAGATACTAACTGCCTGTTCCACTCTTTGAAGAAGTTATCAGACCTCATGCCAATAAATGGTGAAATGAGCCAAAAAGCAGACAAAAGAATGTGGTGAAGTAGGCAATCTTGAGAATCCATAAAGCCACAGGTAATAAAGGCAGAAAGGAAACGTGTGGTAATCAGACTTCCCACAGTTATGTAAAGAAATGTTGGCCATAGTACCATTCATTACATCTTGTATTTTACCGTAATTCAAACATAGCTCGGTGAATAGCAAACTTATATCAATGATGTCAACTGAAAACAGCGGTTCAAAGCAGTATTCTTGATGTGTCACATTCAAAGATGTATCCAAATAAGAAGGTAAGAGCCTTCCTAAAGTTTATCAAAGGAATCAGTTGACCATGAAATAATCTTACTTCTGATTAATTGCTACCTAGATTAATCAGTTTTCCAGCTTGGAAAAATCCCGAATGGGTTGATAGATTTAAGTCCCTCACATCCTTTGACAATCTCCTAAGACTAATATTAGTAGAATGATAATAGCGATAATCTTTCTCAAAGACTGTAAAATTCATCAGATGAAAGTAAAGTGGCATTCCAGCAATTTAATAGGCGTATTTTGCCTCAACAGTTTGAAGATGGATGTGTCTAAAGTACTGTTGGTGGAAATACACCAATCCACTCACAGTGAAATACATAATTTGTTTATGTTTATGGTCTTAGTTCCATCGTTTTATGTGGTAAAACTCTTGTGAGGAATCAAGCTTCACTTTGAGCTTTGGTCTGTCATCTGAGAACAGGCTTTTTAATCTTTGAATTTCGATGAAGACCTTCACTATGGCCGGTATGGATAAAGAGCTAGATAACATAAAACAATTCCAACAGTGGTGTGAACACGGGCAGTAATTTTGCTGGAAATATTACCAATAACGAAACTTATCGTTGTATTTAAACCATTGAAATATAATTATACTTTATTTGATTTCCTCTTCCTTTAATTTTAAATGGCTACTAGTTCTAAAGATAAGAAATACGTAAACACCTTGATTCTCGTTTGTCATATAGAGTGCTAGTGCCAAATGAATAAATGTTCGCATGAGGGAATTTCACATGAATGTATTTTTCGAACTAGGGGTTAAACTTCTTTGAACGTGCCAGTCTGCAAACGTTCCATTTTGAAATAATTCTAAGGGTTTGTTTAATTTTGTGATCCATAATATCTCATTTCTTGTGCATCTTGGTATTACCCATTCCAGTATTAGTTCTTTTAACTCAAGAGAGTTATTATACCTATGGCTACTAGAATCATGGTTAAACCTGGCCTGATGATTAATCCCCTTAGGTAGTGGAGAGCCAACAAGGGGGGATTGTGGTTACTAATAACCCATAATGGATAGACAGGGGAAGGGGTATGACTGTTCTTGAAAAACCAGCGTACGAAAAACACTGGATAAAGGAATTTCTATCCCATTGTTAACTTTATTCCATAGATGGCATGTACTCATGAGAAAATGCCAAATCAATCGTGCTACTTCATGTGTTGATTTCGGTTGTTAAAAATTTAGTAGTATTTTATAAGGAGTGGAAAATACCACCGACTTATATCGCTAGACGCCAGTTTGACGAGTTTTGGTCGATTATGGTATTTTGTGGCCTTCGTTCTAGATTGTTTTTCACTAAGTATAAGATACTGTTCCTAATAGTAATGAGATGATTTTACTTTGGAGTATATCTGTTTAGCGTTGTGACTTACTACCATATATTTTCTAGCAAATTGGTTCTTCCTACGAATAACAAATATGTGAGACAATAGAACTCACATTCTCTACAATGCAGGGTTCAAAAGCTTTTGATTTAGCACAGTGTTGGGTGGATTTATTCTTCAGTTTATCGGTCCTAGTTCATTACTTTTGTCTTTCAGTTTATATAATCTATTTAAAGACTAAAAACGACTAGGAGTTAATCATTTGTGGAATTTTGGCTAGTAGTTATCTCAGTATTTCGCCTTCGCAGCTACAAGTACCGAAGTCATGCTGGCCGACGGACTCTTTAAAGCGTCATCCTATGAATTGAATATACGCAGTATTTTTCGTTTTTCAATGCATAAACAGAAGGAGTCTTTTTTATTTCTTTCACCAACCGTCGATGTGTTGTGCATTACTTTACTTCTAATGCTTATAAAATTGTCAAGAAGCAGGACTTATTTTTTACATTCCATATATATGTATATATATATGTATGGTGAACAGGTTTTTAATGAACAAAAACGTTTTATTGGTATATCGTCAAATAAAGGTTGTTTTCTCGCTACCCACAATGATTACATTTTCATGTTGAGATAGTGATTTTCGTTAAATCTCAACTGAATGGAATTTAGACCAGGTTGTCTGTGCAGTGACTGAATTGTCTGTGTGATGAAATCATCCTCCGCTAATACACCAGGGGTGTGTATAACATTAAGTTAATCAACAGACCATAGTCAGCCGACCATGAATAATACAAAAGCTAATAGACAGCCAAGTAGCAGTCTGAATTTTTGTTTGTGGTGATAGTTCTTCAGTGTCACTTACTGGTGTACTGAAATGTTTCCTCATGTCAATAACTCCTGGTGCAACTTATGGCCAATTAACGTCATTTGGATTAGCAGAGAAAGCATGGAGTTTGGCTCTGAGAACACTTTGGAAAAAAATTATTAGTCTGAAAAGAGGTGATACGTATGACAAGCACGGTGTTTCATTATTACTAATGTCTTTTAATTGGTAATAACCATGTCGAAAAGCAGTTTAAAAATAGGTGAGTTCTAATGTATATATATTATATATATATATATATATGGGCTAGACGTTTGTCATTTGCAACAACAGACCTGTGAGACAGAAGCTCCTGTTCACCCTCAGTAATATAATTGACCAACGATTAGAACCACTTATATGGAAATACTTTATGATTCTTGAATGTTTTCCATAAAAGTAAGAAGAACAGATACACTAGTGGTAACATATTTGAAGGAAAGGCATAGAATATTCATTTCATTGACTTGACACAACTCTTTTACAGAGGATAGTCAGCTGTATCCTGGAAGTAGGACCAATCTATGGCTGTGAAGGGTAAGATTTGGATAAGATGAAGAATTCCTCAAGTAGTATAGTTGTTTTTAAACTTTGTAAGAAGTATCGCAAGAGAACAATTTCGAAAGAAAGTTGGAGTCCAGACAACACTGACAAGCATATTTTGTCCAATTTTTATATTTTCAACATGCTTACTATGGAGAATTATTGGTCTATTTCACAACAAGCAGTGCTGACATTGGACGAAGATATCTCCGTTCAACACTGATGTGCAACTTTGTCATAAGCTCACTAAGAGGGGTGAATGTGTTTACGTTCTGGTTCTCTTCAATATTTTTAGTTTCCATTTATCCTACCTTCCTTTGCTGTCTAAAATCCACTTATGCATGGTGTTCCACATTGCTGCGTACACTTCATCTCTAGACTAATTTCGTTTATTTGTGTTTCTTCTTGCGTAGATTTTGTTTCATCATTGTCATGTTATCAATGCAACTCATCGCATCATTCTAATTGTTTGGAGCATTTAGTAGAATTAGGCAAACATTCTCTCCAGCCGACACCATGTACAACATATGGAGCACGATTTTGCATAAAGACTACAGGAATTTATGGTGGTAAGCCGTTTTTATCATTATTATTTATTTATTTTTCAATCACACATTTGATTTCCTTAGCTATAGTGTATTTTGAATTAAGGTTCTTAGTCAAAGTCATTCTGATACTTCTCGATAAAGCATCACAAAAGTCCATTGTTATCTCTTCTAGTAACAGATACAAATTTGTACGAGTCTTCACGACGAAGCTGTTTCTATGGATTCAGTTTATCCTAATATTTGACTTGTCATAACCAAGGAGCCTTATGTAAGCTGTAGTTATTTGCAAGATAAATACTCTGAAAGTGACGAGTTTAGAAATCTTGAGTACTCGAGTATTCGATGTAAAAATAAAGATGAGATCACGCGATCAAGCGATATCTACTTGATTCAATATAAACAATTTAAGTAAGACAGTTGCGAAAATGGAACTGACATATGATACTTTCCATGTAGTCGAAAAATTCGCGTCAAATGTTCCGTGAGTACACAGAGCGATAGTGTTTTCGCGAAGCAATGAGTACGCAATGTACACTCGATGTCGTAAAAAGAGGGAATGACACTTGTTCAACCTCAGAGGTAAAATTAAGATGTAAAATGAGAGAGCCATTTTGGAAGAGAAATCTAATTCTGTGAAAAATTAAAGAACTGTTATTTTAATCTATTATCGGTGAACATTTGGTTCAATCGAATAACCACAAGATATGGGAAAGTACATAGATAATGGACTATTCATTCAAGACTAACAAAGAAATGCTAATAAAATTCCCTTTTTTGGAGAAAACTGACCAGAAAGATGTGCTGATACATGTTGTGTTAAGCTTGTTTCTCAATTTGTTAATAAGCAAACTCGTTTTCTTCAGCTAACCGGTCATATGCATACTAGACAGTATAATGAACTAGAAATATCTGTTCGAAGTTCTCATGAATATGATGGCTAGTGTTACTTCACGATACCCACTACTACTAGTGCTGCTGACAATTTTTTTCACAGTATGAATTATTTAGTGAAATAAATAAATCTGTTTTCCTGTTTGTTTCTTTATTTTTAGCTGTTATGGGTATAACACGATTCTGCAGTGCATGGGATTTAGGGAATGAATGTCAGTATTTAGATTTTCCCGATCACGATAGGATATATCGTGCATGTGTTTCAACTTGTTCAACAGATGCCTGTAATTCAGGGATACAGAACAGGACTGCACTTTTCTCGATTATTCTATCTTTGTACATATTCATGTGTTTCTATTCAATGACAAATATTTGATCAAGTAGAGAACTGTGCCTTGATATTTTTCTTTTGTTATATTTTTGATTAAAATTTAAAAGTATTGAGTTGTTATTTCTTAAACTTGTGAGATTAAAATTATAAATATTTGATTTCTAATATTTTGTTACCATGATAATAAATTACAGGATGGGATACATGATTTCGGTAGTTTTGTACTCTCTGAGTTATTTGATTTAGTCACCTGTGTTGTTTCTGTTTCTCGTGAACAGCATTGAATCTGTATCAAAGATAATCAGTTTGGAAAAACGTGTCCACCATTCACGAAAGCAATGCTTATACATTTTCAGTCCATGAATTGTTATGTTATGTTATAGTATGATGATCTACTTCAGGATATCTGGTTGTATATGACAATTAGATTTCGTAAGTTGTGCACCGTGGAGTCTGAGCTGGGCGTACTGTGTTTGATGTGGCATCTGAGGTATTAGTTTGGGACGGCTATTTGTGTTTCGCAGACGTTTACTGGCACTGATGAGCAGGACATATATATATATTCATCTATGATAGTGAACATATGAAACAAAATATGGTAGAAGTACATTTCATCGACAAGTTTCTGCAAAGATGTTGTCACCTGTTTGGTGTCTATGGGTGATGTTGTGTCTATTCATCAGAAATTTGACTATTCTAAGAGGTACGAGAAATGCTATCGGAATTCATTGTTTGAAAAATGTTAACCATGTGCTAGGAAGCGACCGATAATTTTATCCATGGGTATAATTTCCGACGCATACAGGAAACACAAGCTGCAATATTGTCACCTTTAATCACGATGGCCAGATAACTTTGGAAAAATTGATTTCCGAAAGACAGTCGGCACTCTAAATTTAACGTCTTCCCTTTTTCCGACCAGGATTTTATTTCTTTCAGACTAACTGTTTTTTGTCACTTCTCTTTGTTTTCTACTGATTTCGATGTCGTTACCTCCACCAAAATGTGTAGTCCTAAGCGATATGAATTCCTCTATTATCACTCGTTTGTAAATCTATTTTCTCGAAATTCCGGTATTTTCTCTCATGATCGAATTCACCGGTCGTTGTGGCTTAAATAAGACGGATTTTGTTGAGCTCCCTTGCATCACAATTTTCCATTAGCTCACGAAATCTTAAATCGAATGTATTGCACTCCTCCTAGATTGGTATTATTTAGCAGTTGAGGAGTCAACCTCGAATGGAAGGCGTGAATTGGTCGCCCGAGTGTTACTTGGAGGAGTTGATGGGAAGGTGAGATTAATCATGTCCACAGACGTTGAGTTAGGTGAAAACATTGTTGGATAAACCAACTCACTGGGATTGTCCGGTTTAAGCCCTGTTTTCCCGTAGGAACTAAAGGAAACATTTTTAAATATTAATGAGTTGATCCGACCGACAAGCCTCGGATACCATTCTCAAACAATTCTGGAAAGTAAGCCTAAGGTACCTCTGATGAGCTTTGTGTTTACCTTTGGAACCTTTTTACAGCTCATTCTAATTTATTGATGCTTATTTTTATTCCTCCTTCAGATTTGTAGTGTTTGGTGGATAGTAGTGACATAAATATAGGCCAGTGGAATCGGTCTTCTGTACATCCTGTCCAATATTTTATCTGTTTTTTTCGAGAATGATAGACATTTGTCCTCCTTAAAGAAAGTCTGGTTTACAATTCGTGTACTTAATATGCTCATATAATTACCCAAATAGCTGAATAACAACATGTTCGTCTCAGAATCTAAAAATCTTGGGTTTGATACCTCGTGGATTTAGGGTTGTGCACCATTGAAGAGTCCCGAACTAGGTGGCGATATTTGCTTTGAACTCCTTGGTTTTACTACTCTGGTAATTCCACTTGTACAGTGCTCGCCAATCATGTGGGAGTTCTCGGTTCGATTGGCGACTGACGCACAAAGTAACCCAGCCTAACGAACAGTAAGCTGAAAAAATAGGGTAGGATGGGTGTGAGGTCAACAGTCACATTCCGTAAACACCAGAACTACTGAAACTAAAATGCCTTGATGCTCTATCAGTGTTTTCTAATGCCACCTAGTTCGGCTTCATCAATTAATGCATCTAGTAACTGTTGAGGTGACTTCATTTAGTCCACATTTAAATATTTGTTACTGCTTGTTGTATTTGAAGTCAGTTGAAACCATTCTTCCAGTATCAACACAATCCATTAGTTTTTCTAAAACTATGATTTTAGTTTGTCGGTGTACTCACTACATTTTTAAGAGCGAATTAGATACTAGGGCAAGATTCCATAGGATGAGTATTGTCGTCATGCCGAGACTAAGCATTTGGTCAATCGCCTCCTGAATAGAGACTTGTCACTTGTCCTTCCAATAGCAAAAGTGATATTCTTAGTACTTAAAGAAAAATGAATTGCATTTTCCTCCCTTGCAATACGATATCATATGTACTTGAGAAATTCTGAAAAATTAGTAGGAAGAGAAATTGCTCAATCCCCTGTGTTGTTTACTGTGAAATAAAGTTTTTGACAGCACTTTCTTTCTAGATTGATGCATCAGTAACCTCATAAGGAATAAGTTGAGGTCCGTTTGTTTACTCCTCTATTTCTGCTAATTTACAATTCATCGAATTCTAAACATAGTGAAACTGAGCTTGAGATGAGTTGAATCTTTAAAAAGAGCAAATCCGAATATATTATTGATTTCTTTTCGTTACCTCCACCAAAATGTGTAGTCCTATGCGATATGAATTTCTGTATTATCACCCGAATAAAAATCTATTTTCTCGAAATTCCGGTATTTCTTTTCATGATACAATTCACGGGTCTTTGTGGCTTAAATAAAACGGAATTTGTTGAGTTCCCTTGCATAGCAATTTTCCATTAGCTCACGAAATCTTGAATCGAATGTGTTGCACTCCTTCTCTTCAGCATTTTACTCCTGCCTTCCTGAAAGGATCTCTACTGAATTTGGTTATTCCACGATGTGTACAGTATTATTCAAAAATATCTTGATAAATCCGCTTCTGGCAATCAGCTATGTTAAATTATTTGTAAAAACTGTGTGATAGAATCTAGATTATTAGCGTCTAGACCAGACTATTGACTGGTGTTTGTTTTGGCATATTTCTCTTTTTCAGGAATATTACGGGGTACATCAAAATATTATTCACACTGGATCGTCCATTTGTTTGTTTATTGCTTCTATTGTTCTGAAGCTTTCAACGCTAACCGAATGAAATTGTACTGTATACTTTCTTTTGTTTGATACGTTACATCTTGAAACAGTGTTATTTCGTGGATGATTTTTTCGAACACACTTTAGTATTCATAATGAAATCTAAAGAACTGTGAAACACAATTTTGTATGTATCATTCTTCTTTCCAATTTGTCATAGGCGTAGTAAAGTTTCTGGGTTTACCGGCACATGTGTCAAACCATTCCAATTGTATATGTTCTCTGTTGATTAGACAAATGAAGCTCTAGTTATCAATCTCTCCCTCCACCCTGTCATTTAGATTTTACGACTATTATTTTGTCCCTTTCTATTGTATGACTGAGTGAAACTGCATGTAATCCTGTGGCTGAGTTATTCTCAAGATTTCTTATCTGAGAGTGAAGAGTAATTACTGGGAATACGTATTTGCTAAAGCTGCATTCTGTAATTATCAGGGTGCACAAATTCCGATTCCACTAAATATTTTTGATCTCCTAATCTAACTCATCTGGTCTACTTTCATCTATGTGTTTCACTATACAATAATTGCAAAACCAATTTTTTGTTACATGTGCTTTACATAATTTGTTTCTAACTGAATTGGTCGGTTCGAATGCAAATTTTATTTTTGCTTTTTCAAGAAAGAATCTTACTGAAGGTTTTAGAAGTTCGCTCTTTATATGGTGTTTTAAATTCCCTTTTCTTGATATTATTGTTACTATTTCCAAACTCTTCTACATTCTTAAGATAAATGCTTTTATAAATAAGTGTAAATTTAATAATTGTTCTAGATCTTGTTTCTATAGTGTGTGCTTACAACCCATTATTAAGGTCACGTGACTGGTCAGCCCTAGACTGATATTTCAACAATAACTGTAAAACCTGCACATTAGTACAGGGCTTTAGATGCGAAGGAAAGCAGTATACTTCACTTTAGTAATCCATATTCACAGGAAAATTCCTAATGGCTGAAAGTTTGTATGGCTCATAGTGCTACTTATTTTCAGTTTAAGTAGCCTATTAAACGTAAGAAAAATTATTAAACTTATCGAAAGTCCACTTGTTCCAACTATCAGTAATGAATGATGTTTATGATTGGGTGAATTTTACTCAGATGCATTTCACAAGGCAAGAAACCAACAGCACTATTCAATATTCCAACACACTCCAGATGTGTTAGCAGTGGTGATCAATTCTGTCGCGTTGCACAGATCTTACCTAGTGATTACAATTTACAGTTAATCTAAAGGCACAGATTATTACCTAAATACTTGTAATTCTAATCCCTTATAAATCAGCCTTTACCATTCGTACTAACGGAAATTGATTACTGAAATAACGGCCTAGATTTTCTCCGAGCCTCCTCGTTTATTCACGAACATTAAGCCACCAGGTATGTTGTCAGCCTCAGTACTAACTTCATTAGGAAGTCATTATCATCGTCATTAATAGTTGATAAAGATCAATCTTGCCAGTAATTAACTGGTAATGAGAAATAAGTTTCAGACTCACTGACGTGAACGGCAAAATCCATTCATTCTCTTGTGGCTAAAAACTGCTAGCGATGAAAGTAATAAAGCAATGAATGTGAAAACAACTGCCAGATGGAATACGGCGGCCTGCTTAAATCACTGGGATACCTGCATTTCCATCCGAGACAGTGCATCTTATTTTCTTTAGTTCTTGTCGTTATAATCATTCGCTTACCTTCGTGGGTTGACAGATATGGTCATGCACATTTTTTATTGGTTTGCAGCTTACCGTTGCTCACTTCTTGGGGATCAGAGAAAAACACCATAAAGGATTCAAGTATTG